AACCTGCGCGAGTACCTCGACTTCAGCCAGAAGCTGACACGATGGGGCGAGTCGGGCGTCTACGGTTTCCTGCCGCACCTCAACTCGGGTCCGGCCGCGCAGATCCTGCTGCAGAGCATCACGACTGAGGCGCGCCAGCAGCTCATCTTCCGTCAGTTCAGCGGCCTGTTCCCCATGCCCGTGTGGTTCGAAGTCGGCATCCCGCAGTCCTGGGCGTGGACCCTGCTGGCGCCGTACATCTCGAGCTGCCCTGCCGACACCCAGCGCCTCATCTGGCAAAACTTCCCGTCGCTGCACGTCCTCAACCAGCCGAACCCGGCCCGCATCGACGGCGCCAACGTCTGGAACGAGACGACGGGCGGCTACGCCAACACGCTATCGACGGCTGAAATTGAGCCCGAGGACGCCTGCATCAACGCCACCGAGGTCGGCGAGTTCTGCGGTACTGCCATCTCCCGGAACCGCACCACGCCGCTTTCCTACCCGGGCCGCCAGGTCTTCCTGCAGTGGGACGCCCCCGGCTCTCCCGTCGGTCCCAACAACAGCTACATCACGGCGACCGAGGTGCGCGAGCCCAAGTTCGCCGCCTGGGTGTCGCAACTCAATGTCACCTACTCGCCCCTGCTGAACGTCAGCCTCGAGGACCGTACGGCGTACACCATTCAGCCCAACGTGTCGACCATTGAGGGTGATCCCGCCCTAAACGGCACCCTGTTCCTCGCGCTGACGGACGAGCCGCTCTACGTGACGCCTTACAACCTGACGCAGATTAACCCGCATGTTGCCGCCCTGGCTTTGTACCAGGCTGGTTGAAGAAGAAGGCGTAATCATCTGAATTGTTTATGGGTGTACCTAAAATGACATCAGTCTGAACGCTTGTATGACAATCGCGAATGGGGGTATACCATGTAGAGATACACTTAATGTCAAACCTTGATCCTTGGACCTTGTACTACCCAGCTTGAGATGTGATCATTTGCTGCTCCCTAACATGCAGCTCATCACCTTCCGTGTCACCCAATCTCATCGCCCAACTTGTTCGGTCTGTATCCACACGACTCTCGGGTACCCAGGCGTAGAGGAGTCTCTGAGGGTTGCGATGAAGCACCATGACGTCTTGTCGGTCCAAAGGGGTCCAAAAGGGCAAGGGCGGGAATCGCCTCGTGTATTGTTGATCTATGTCTCAATTCTTTTTCTTTTCACGTCGTGTCAGCCCAACTGCGTCGTGTCGTGGTCTTGCGTTCCGTTTAGATGGTGATCGTCTTGTCCCAATTGAGCTTACAGCTCATTGTGCTCCTGGTTGTCGTCGGTACCGTCGGCGACAACCGTCTTGACAGCCTCGGCCGCCTCGCCAACGACACTGGCCACCTTCTGGGCGATCCCTTCGGCCGCCTCCTCAGCCTTCTCCTTGACCTCCTCCTTGACTTCCTCCTCCTTGGGCAGCTTGACAACGATCTTCTCGGGCTTCTCGACGCCGTCAATGCCCATGAGCTCCGTCTCGAAGACTGGCGTGTGACACTTTCGTTAGCCGGGCGAAACTGCATGCGGGGGAGCAATGTTGCCGCGTCCCCGACAAGGAACTAGGGCGGGGCCTGCTGCTCCTGCTCGCCGGGAAAAAGGGTAGAAGGAGGGGGTGTCATACTCAGCGTCGCGCCGCCGGGGATGGGACCCATGCCGCGGGGACCGTAGCCCATGTCAGAGGGGATGGTCAGCGTCCTCTTCTCGCCAATGCACATGTCCAGTAGACCCTCCTCCCAGCTGTCATGTCCTGTCCGTCAGTCATTTGATTCTCCTCGATGCCGCCAACGGCAATGGTGGGGAGGGGGGTGTGATGGTAGGGGAAGCGCGGATCAACGAACCCCTTGATGACCTGACCGGCGCCAATCTTGACGTTGAAGGGCTGGCCGCGGTTGTAGCCTGCGCGAACGGAGATTGTCAGTTCATCCATCATTCTCTAACCCAGTTTTGGCAGTTCGCCTCGCTGTTCCAGTTCCAAGCCTCTCGCCGCCGATTCGGGCAGACAACGTGGGGTGGTTAGGCCCAATTGAGGCGGGGAGAGCTGGGGGCAAGGGCGGCTTCGGGGCGCCAGCTGGGCAAAAACACGGGGCAACGATCACGCACTGGCATCGAATTCCTTGCCGCCGTCTTGCAGGCTGCCGCGGTAGTGTACGCTGATGCGATCGCCCTTGACGGTCTTGCGCTCGCACTCGACCTCGAGCGTCTTGTCGATCTTCAGGCCGTCGGCGGCGGCGAAGCTGAATGCTGTGGAGGCCAGCAGGCCAAAAGAAAGGAGGGCACCCTGCATGGTTGCTGTGGGTGTAGTCGGTCGTCGGGAGGGGAGATGAGTGGGTTTCGGGTCAGGGCGACGGGGTTCAGAAAGTCGTAGGAAAAACGAGGCTGTCTTTTTGATGTCGTGATGGATTGGAGGAGGACAGGTGTTGGTTGATTAGTAGCAACGTCGCCTACTGAGGGTCGTAGTGAGGAATGGCGGGGCTGGAGATCCCAAAACGGGAAGGAGTGCCGCCAAGTGTGGTTTCCCCACGTCTCACCGCCTTGTATTCTCGATTGACCAATGACGATGGTTGACGGCTGCTCCAATGATCCGTTGCCCGATCCAGGGTTGGCCCATAATTTCATCAAGGGTTCTTATCTCTTATCAAGAGCAGTCAACCTCTGACGTCAGCATCCTTCACCACACAATTCGTCCATATCATCTCAGGGTGTTGTCACTCGGTAACAGCTCTGCCCAGGCTGGAGATAGTCCGCGTGATCAGGGACAGGATGGAATAGCTCCTCGTGAGGCCATCACCTGACACCTTCGCCTCGCCAATTCGACCCGGCACTGCGCGTAGCCGAGAAACTGCTGTTTTTTCTTCCATGTCATGGCGGAACGAATGCCTGATCTCGTGGCGATTGAGGCCTCACCGAGAAGTATCCCAGCACTTCACATGCATATCTTTCTCATCTGATATCTGAGTCAAAATATGGCCCAATTCACTGTCGAGATTCCTTACTCTGCTTCAGACGACGTGCCCAGCCGACGCGCCCATGGCCCTCAACTCGAGCCTCTCCTCGGATGCATCCGATTTATTGGCTGGCGGAGCACCGAGCGAACTCGTCCCATCCCCGTCCGATCAACAACACCAGGCTGCACTTCACTGAAAGGGCGAGGCGACTGGCTCCACGGTTGACAGCGGCACAAGACCCACACGGGCAACAGCCAGCAAAATGGACAACAAGCCAGACACACGACAACCAGGCGACCGGAGCCTCAAACCGAAAGTGTCTTGTGTCTCTTGTGTATGCGTGCTCTGTTCCTTGCCAGGCATGTCTCTGACGCCCCGGTCGGCCCAATTGGGACTTTGTCCTGCCAGATACAGTCCGATTCTAGGCACACCAGAAGCGACCGTCCTGCCGGCAGGGTTGAACCACTCGGCATGCAGGTTTACAAACCGGCATGCAGCAAGCCGACATCCATCGTCCGAGTCGCCCGCGCGATTGGGCCTCATGGCACTGCTTGACAGACGACACGCTGACGCTGCCGTCCAAGCTTGCATGGCCGCCGTGTGCTCAAGGGATGAAGGGCACAGCTCCACGTTTGACAGCCGAACTCCCCCCCCCCCTGTCGCCCACGCCATCATCGTTGACTGACCATCGTCGGATGGTCCCGTCGAGTGGCCCAGCGCTTGCTTGCTTTCTGTCTGTTCTCCGGTGAGACAAGAATTTTCACTTGCTTTGTTTTTTCCACCCCCCATCCCTCTCATCTCTGCCTTTTTTTCTTCCCAGACGTGAAAAAAAGGACGTTCAGGCGTCCTCGTTGGGCATCGATGAGTCAGGGGCCACCCATGCCTCGAGGTGTGACTTGGAAATTGTCCCCAGGGGCGACAGGAGCCCAAACCCAGAGGCATTGGAATGGAAATTCCCCAACGAGCCACATCAGCCGCGCTGGCGGAGCCACAGTGGTCGTCCCAAAGGGGATGTAGCGCTGACGGCGCTTGAGGTAACCAACCAGGACGGCAATCCTGTCAGGAAGGCCAGGTGACTGGTTGAGGCCACCCGAGACGGACAAACGGACAAAGGGTGATGAAGACGAGTGATTGCAAAGCATTCGGCAGTGTAGTTTCAATGTTCAGCTTGGCTTGGCCACGAGGCTTTCTCTAGGCAGAGGAGCGACTTGAGTAGGCAGCAAGATCCTTCCGCTCCGCTCGACTCGTCCAGACCGTCTGTACGTGGTGTTGTCTCCCTGGTTGTCTATTGACGAGAAGCGCACTTCACCTGGGTACGGCACCAGGTGGGACACCTCGACCCCGGACAGGGCAGTCATCACACCTCACAGGGCATGCCCACAGCGGTACGGCCCCTTAGAGCGCACCGCGCTTAACGGCCCCTCCGGGTACCTTAGGTACCTAGGTACCTTAAGGTAAGGCAAGGTAAGGTACTGAGAAGCTTAGGAGGCAGACACTGGAGCCGTCACAATTGACTTGCCGATCCCTAAAAACCGGCTGCCCACTCCACTCTTCAAGACACTGCCGCGCCCACCCATTACATCGTCCCAGCCAACAGCCCTGGCTTTTCCTGTTTCCTGTCCCAGATTCAAGCTCCGTCCTCCCGCCTTGTTTGGCTGCGTCGTATTCCGTCCTAGAGGTACCCCAAAGTCACCTTGAGATTCGCCACCTCCGACTTGCGACGAATATGGCACCTCCCTTTCGACCCCTCGTCCCTCCCTCGCCCTTCTCCTCCCTCAACTAGCGGCTTTCGTGCCTGACGGAACGGAGAATGGCAGACCCTGCATTCGCACTGGAATTGCCAAACGTGCCCAACACGAGCCAATGGGTGCCCTATGTCGCCCTTTTCGGTGTGTGCCTCTGCGGCGACCCCACCCGCTTGGATTCCAAACCTGGGTGTCCCTGTCTTGACGGTCACAGGCAGACAGACAGACTCCTTTGTTCCCTGACTGAAAGGGGGGTCAGGGGAGTTGGGTTGTCGTCGTCGTCGTGCTGATGGCGGGTGTTTCTGAGGCCACGGCGGGGACACCCATGCCTAACGGGGCTGGTTTGTAGAGTTTTGGTTTTTTGGCAACCTTTTTCCCTCTCTCTGTGTGTCTTCGGTCTGACCATTGTGTCTTGTATCTGCCTTGCGCTTGCCTTGTCTTTGTCCCTCTCGGCGGAGTGATGCCCCCCCCTTCCCACGCCCCCTCCACCCCCCTCCTCACCCCTTCTGCTTGGGTGGTGCTGATAGAGGTCCACGCGTACCAGCCTACGTGAGGGGTGAGGGCGCCCGGCGCGATGTTTGCGGCCTTGACTTTTTTCCTTTCTATATATAATCCTCAACCTGCTTCCAGTTTCTCGGTCTGGTCTTTTTGTTGTTCATCGGCTCTCGTCTACAAGCACTCTCACACACCAACATACGTACACACAAACACGAATATACAGAACCATCCGGCTCCAACTACACATCAACACCACATACACACAGACAAAAAGGCATCCGCGGTATCACACCAAAAAGCACCTGTCACCAAAGACCAAAAGAGAGAAACCTTTGCAACCCCTCGCAAGCAAACAAACTCAGCTGTCACACTCGCACACTATCCCAAAATCCACAAACAAGACAACATGTCGCGCTACAACTACGCCAACAGCCCCGTCATCCACCAGGGCGCGGCCTCGATCCGCTCCTCGGCCTCCTACTCCACAACCTACTCGGGCGAGAGCAGCCCGCGCAGCTACCGCTCCTACTCTCCCGCCGAGACGATCCGCGAGCAGCAGTACGCGGGCGCCACGAACGGCAGCGGCGTCGTCGTCCACAACGGCTACAGCGGCCACCATGACCAGCGCTACGACCCCACGCCCAAGTACAGCAACCCGAACCTGGCGAAGCGCAAGAGCTAGGCGTGCTTTTCCGCCTGCTCTTTTGATTCCATCACGGACTTGCCATAATAACATGTAAACGGAGAGCATTCACTGGCGTTTTTCCTTTCTCCTTTCTCTTTCATTACTTGTAGGGGGACAGGATATATGGCATGGCATGGGCGCAGAAACGACGGTGTACGGAATAATGTCGCTACGGCATATGGTTTGGGCGTCAGAACTTCACACGTTGCAGTCGACGAAGGAATTGGAACCGGGCTGGACCTCTCATGTCCATGGAATGGGCGACTCTCTGTACCACGGGCGTTGGGTTGAAACTGGGGCAAGAAATCAGGTTGTGCTACCACTACATGTAACTGTACTACTTTCCGGGGTCTCGAATTCCATAGACAGTCTACCTTATTCAAACTTTTTCTTGTTTTTTTTTCACTTTTCCTGCCCCCCATCGTTGCATATATCTCATAATGGAAGTTAATATTCTTGGAATTGTTCATGCACGTTCGAGACCGCCTCCTTTTCCGCCGACGCGAGTGACGCACATGTAATGCACGTCCAGGTTGCGTTGCTGACCGCGTCCGATGACTGGCTGCTGCCAGGCACGCCAATGACCGGGCCGCACGGGAGGTGCGGCCGCTGCCCTCTGCTGTGGCTCCCGGTTGCAAAATGTGCATTTTTTGTGCCTTCTTGCTATTCTCGTGTCTATTGTTGCACTCTCGACAACATCCTGGTGGGGGACATAGCTGATCGTTGGAATGGCGAGAAATGCACCTTTTTGTCGTCATGGACGTGGGGAAGTGCTACACCGTCCCAAGCTGGGCGCGCGCGGCGGGCAATGATACGAGGTTCCCACAATGTTACCATTGCATCTTCTCAACAGCTGTTATGTGGAGAAGACCAGCTGCGGTGGAGATGTATTCGTGTTCTTTTTTTATCTTCTTTTGTATTCGCGCAGGATATTTGGTGAATGTTGAGGGAAACGAAACGTGAAAATGTTTATTGTACTTGATAATTCTCTAGTGTACGCGTGTCGTTGGGAGGCAGCCTGGCGTTGCATTGCCAACTGGGAATCCCCAGTCACGCATGTCAGAAGTAACTACATGCACATCGGAAGCTTGTAGCCTTACCATGAGGTCCCGTCGAATATAGGACCGGGAACTCGTTGCGGGAGTTGGCTGGCGTCGGTGATCTTCCCGCTGAGCCGCCCGCCTGTAACACCACGACGGCTGCCTCCGCAGTGCCACGCACGCGCAGCATATTCCCGACGACCTCCACCTGCTTCAGTAGAAGTAAAGCGATATAGCATTAATTCGTGATGCATTCGACAGTTGCGAGGTGACCATTGTCTGATGCATTGCCTCCGGCACGACCGGAGTAAGACGGCGCTCCACTTCTTCCACTTGCGCAGGTGCCGTAGCGGGGCTGATGGGCAAGTACTCGTCCCCGGCTCCATGTCTTGTTGCATGTTCAAACTGAAATGTGCTGGCGAGGTGTGAGTGTAGTTGTCGCTGCCGTAAAGTCTATGCCTGAGTTCTACACATCATCGCTGCGGCCACCGTTACCAACAACGTTTTCAGCTGGCATTTTTTCGAGCTGCGGCCGTTGCTTGTTCACCTCGTTGCAGGTTGCAAGCCAGCCACCTGCGTTGAGACGATCAGCCATACCAGTCCTGTGAGGCTCCGTTGGAGCCTCGTTGCGGCTATCCCCTCCATTCACGAGGCGCAGCTTCTGGTCAGCTGGAAGGCGGCGAGTTGGTCACAAGTCAGGCTCACACCAGTAGTAGGCTGTGCCACGAGGGCTCGACCGGGACATACTGCTGATGAAATGAAATACAGCCTCGTACTACGCATACCTAGACAGGTCGCTGCCTGGGACGGTCAAATTCTGAATGTCAGGAGCTTATTCTCTCGTCAAGCCGAGCCCCTACTTCCACCATAGCCGGCAGGCTTCCGCCGTGGATGAAGCAGCAGGGCGGTTCGCTCAATTGAACACTGCACCGGCACCTTGCTCATCTGACGTGAGTCGAGGCCAACTTGTGATCGCACTATGGGCAAGCCGTTAGTCGTCCATCCTTGCTTCTGGGTTGGGTAGTTGCTCACCACCGCCGGGCGACAGGTGCATCAGTCCTCAGGTGCTTTTGCAGGGAGGTACGTCGCTGCAAAGACGCGTGTATTGGCAGGTACAGAGACGGAAGTCAGCGATCAGACCACCGCAGACGCAACGCACAAAGAAGGCAACAAACAGCCCAGGCAGAGTAAAATGCAACAGCCCATTGCAACGGAGCGTCATATTGTGTGAGTACGCAAGTGATAAATCCAGTCCCAAAACACCATTTCCAGCCATTCAATCCTTGACCATCATAGATGGCCCCCTCTGTCGATTAGGCCCCCCGCAATGACACAGCACGTAGTTAAGCACCGCCTTCCCTCTTGGCATACTCCTCCTCAATGGCCTCCTCGTACTTCTCGTCGGCGGACCGCGGGTCCTCGTGCAGCACGCCGTCCTTGATGAGCGTCTCGGGCGTGGGGCGGTGGGAAATTTTGTCGTTGAGCGAGTCGGCGCGCATGTGCTTCTCGAGCTCCTTCTGCTGAGCCTGCAGCGAGGGCGCGGCGTGGGAGGAGGGGAGGATGTTCTTCTCGACGAGCTCCTCGCGAGCCGGGCGGTGCAGCAGATGGTTCTCCAGCGAGTTCTTGCGGTCGGAGGCGCCGGGGCGCGTCGGGGAGATGGGTGTGTCGTCGACGGGCTTGGTCTGTTCGGCCATTTTTGTGATTTGGGACTTCTCTCTCTTGGAGATCAAAGGTGATTTGCTAGTTCTGGTAATTTGGAGTGTATCGGCGTGGCTTTGTTGGTGCTGTCAGGTTGAGTGTGGTGGAGAGGGGAAGGTGTGAGGGGGAGGGGGAAAGCATGGCCGTATTTGTAGCGATAGCTGGAATGAGGTCACAGGTCGGCCCCCTCTGCATCCCCGGCGAACACAGGCATTGGCGGGCATTGGCAGGACAATCAATCAGGTGTAGCCAGTCAGCTGTCCCTGTTCTTGTTCATCAGAAGCTAAAAAAGCTGCTGCTCATGCTTGGGGAGCTCGAGCTCCTCCTGCAACGAGCTGATCTCTTTCCTGTTCCTTTCGCTTGCCCCCCTCTTTCCCATGCCGTCGCATTCCGCGACATGGTGCGAAACTCATTAAGCTTCACCATCCATCGTTCTCACCCATCCATCCCATTGACACTCCGCGATTTCCATGCAATGTCCCTGCTACGTCCCCTACAACGCCTCTCGTTCGCTCTGAGAGCGGGAAGGTCTTCGTCGGAGGTTCAGTGAGCATCCACCAACCTGTTCACGTCGCTCCGACCCTGACGCCTCTCGTCGACCCCATAGGGCCGGGAGGTTTTCGCCAGAGCAAGGCCAACGGTGACACTTTTCACACGACGCATTTATGCATCTCGTCCCCGAGTGTTCAGTATCAGCCGCTTGTCGACGATAGCCCCAGCAGGTCCCTTCGCCTCTCGCGAGATGAAGGGAGGCCAGTATTCCTTTGGCCTCGGACGCTGGCACTCAACCCTTGATAGCCCCAGCTTGTCGTCCCAAAAGGGCGAGGCTGGTATTCGGCAGGCCTCAAGAGGTGCCAGCTGCGGCTGATGATTTGCCTTTGGTGTTTGTTTGCCCGTCCATTCGGGCTTGATCGTCGGGATCGATGAGCGTCGGCGAGCTTTGCTTTGGTCTTGGAGCTCTGAGCTCCAGCTCCCGCGCCAGATCCAGCGCCAGCGCCATCGCTGCTTGTTCAGTGGGTGAGTGGAGCAATGGGCGGCAATGCAGGGCGCTGGAGTACCCCGCAATCGTCATCGGCCAGCCAGGGTCAGCCCAGGAAGCGGCGCCCACGGCCGAATCGCGTCTTTCCTGCTTGGATCCCTGCCGCGCCGGGCTGCGCTTGCCTCATCGTGTGTGAGTGGAGAGCAAGAGCTTCCCGACCGATGATGCAATGGGCGCTGCCGGGCTTTCCTGAGCCTCAGGTTCCTCTTGCATCGCAAACGCAGTTGTGAACAGAGTTTTCTTCACACCATCCAGAATGGCTACCATGCCACCAGCCAAACTGCGACACTGCACCAATGCCGTGCAACATGTTGCGATAAGGGCAAAAAGCCAGCGGCTTTCGAGCTGTCAGCAGACAAATTCGATGCCGTGAGCATGGGGAACTTACGAAGCACGATCCTTGTTTCGCTATCCATGGCGCAGGCCGATTGGTTATGTGCCATACAGTCGTGGGCAAGCGCCCTACTTTTACACATAACGCGCATTATGAGGGCCTCCGACGCCCTGAAGAGTATTTCCTCCGCGAAACCGAGCGCGGCATCCATCTGACCGGCTCGCTTTCGTCGAATGAGCTGGATAGAAGCACGGCGTTTTTTTTGATCTTTTTTTTGTTGTGATTTCAGTGCTGTATGGAGGCATTTCTTCTCAACATTGCGGTTCCATGCTGCCATCTGGCCCCGTAGGCTGAAGCAGCAGGCCAAATTTTGAATGGCGTCTTCTGGTGATCGAACAATGGGATGACAAAATGAACATAACAGAAACACAAACCGGGAGAATGGGGAAAACGTTGGAACAGGCACGAAATCAAAGGCCGCAGACTTCAAACACCAGAGGCAACGTACCACCCCCACGCCTCAACAATCTCTTCATCGGGCTCGAGTCGGATCATGTTGGGGAACAAAGGCCGTCCCTCAAAATCAGCATACATATCGTACACTGACCTCGCCTGGCCCGGGTCGTCAATGTCCACTGCACGAAACTCGATCTGCGCCTGCTCGACCATGACGTCGAGAACCTCCCGGAACTCAGCCGCCAGCTTGAAGGCCTTGATGAGATCGAGCCTCGCCAGCTTCCACGAGCGAAGGCTGTTCGCCCAGGGCCGAAGCATCTGGGCGACCTCCTTGCCGACAATCTCGCCACGCATGGTCGGGCCGTCCCGCGGCTCCGAGTGCGGCTCCAAGACCTCCGTCAGCAGGATGTGCCCGACCTTGCTCATGACGCGGAAGAGAACGTCGTCGGCCGTCTCATCTTCGCCAATCTCGTAGGTGCACTCGGCAAGCCAGTCGGCGATCATAAATTGCCTCATTTCGGGCTCCCAGACGGCGGCCTTGTCTCCGAAACGGTCGACGCCGTCGTGGTTGCCGTCCCACTTGAAGCGCTTGGAGTCGAGGGTGCCATTGAGAAGCTTGATGAGGTTCCTGTACGTGCTCACCCTGATCACTTCGTCCGGCGTCCTGTCGTCCTGTGAGGAATCCGAGTCATCGTCGGAACTTTCCTCTTCTTCTTCTTCTTCTTCGTCATTGTCATCTGCGGCACTAGCAGATTCGGCGGCCGCAGCTGCGGGCATGGGGACGGAGACGGGGGAGGGAGGTTGAAGGGGAAGGGGAACTTCACCAAAGACCGGCCCGGCCTGCTCGCTTCCGAAGAAGGGAGGGGCACCAGGTACGGTCATGGTGAAGTCAAAGACCCCACCGGACCCAATAGGGGGAGGAGACGGGGGAGGCGGCAAGAGGGAAGGAGAGGGGGGAGGAGGGAGTGCTTCGCCAGACGCCGGCCCGGCCTGCTCACTTCCAAAGAAAGGAGGGGCACCAGACACGGCCACGGCGAAGTCAAATTTATAGGTCGCTCGCGGCTCTATGGTCCCAGAGAGCCCGTGTACGGCGGCGGCAGACTCGGGGAATGAAATGGGCCCCCTGTTGGGAGCCGGCATGACAAACGAGAAGATGTCCGAATTTTCAGGTCTCTGTTGTTGTTGCTGCTGTTGCCCCCCCTGCTGTCTGTCAGCCTCCCAGCGATCAGCCTCCTCTTGGGCGTCCTGCTCGAAGGCCTCCAGAATGGCAGCTTCCAGGAGCGCAGCCTGTTCTTCCTCCTCCTGCTGCTTTTGCTGCTGCTGCAAGTCCTGCAACTGCTGCAGCTCCTGCAACTGCTGCTGCTCCTGCAACTGCTGCTGCTCCAACAGCTGCTGCTCTCGCTGCTGTTGCTGTTGGTCGAGGAGTTTCTGCGCCTGACGCGCCGTCTGCTCCTCGAACCAGCGCTGCATATGCTGCTTGTTCAGTAGCTGCTGCTGCTCCTCCTGTTCTTGCTGCTGCAGTCTTTGCTGCGCCTCGTACACTTCCTGCTCCCGCTGCTTCTGGGCTTCCTAGGCCGCATCCACAGCTTCGGCAGGATCAGCGACGGGACCTGCAGGTAAAATCACCTCCATCTGACCGACTGGCGAGGCCGGCACGGAGTCGGATGGCAGAGAAGGGAGGTCGTCGGGCAGCATCCCGAGGGTTTCAGTTATAAGGGAAGGGAGGGCAGGTGTGGGTAACATTCCCAAGAAAGCGGTCTCAGTGTTGCCGGGGACAGAGACGGGGGCGGCGACGGGGGAGGCCGGACAGGCGGCGGGTAACGTTCCCAAGCATGGAGGGGAAGGAGGAGCGGCGGCGATGGGTAACGTTCCAAAGCATGAAGAAGGATGAGGGTCGGCGGCGATGGGTAACGTTCCCAAGCATGGAGCAGGAGGAGGAGGAAAGACGATGGAGGCGACGTCGGCAGAGGGTGCGGGTAACGTTCCCAAGCGAGAAACGACGTCATCGGTCGAGTCGAGGTGGCAGCGGACGCGAGGCGAGGACGGAGGAGAGCTGCCGAGAGAGAGCAAGGCCAAGGGAGAGGCGGGCGGAGGAGAGGAGGGCGCGACGACGTCAGGGGCGTCGATGGAGAGAGAGGAGAGGTCGGCGACCAGCTGGGTGTCGCGGAGAGCCTCGATCTGGTCGGATGAGAGGTGGCTGCCGACGGTGACGGCCAAAGCCTTGTCGTTGGCGTACAGCCCCTCGTACATGAGCTGCTGCTTTGCCTGTAGCGCAGCTGCCGTCTCTTCGAGGGCGAGGAAGTCGTTGGGGGCGCCAAGGGATGTGACGGCCGTCTCAAAATGAGCCAGAACCTGGGATGGTCAGTGTATGAACAAGAGGTGGAAAGAGGACGACCATGACGGGATGGAGGTGAAAAGGATGACGACAATGCTCAAGGAAGTAAGGAGTAGAGATGAAGGAACAATAGAATTCAAACGTACCGACACATCCTCATTGCCAAAAGTGGTCTGGATGACATTCTGCATCTTGGCCATGATGCCCTTGATCAGCTTCTCGGCGACCGACACCATGGAGATGACTTCGATGGTGGGCTGGACGCAGGCGGTGTGGAGGTTGAGGGCCGACGCGGCGATGGCGAGCTCGGACGCGGACGCCGAGGGCGCCGAGGCCACGGCGGCATAGGTGGGAAGGAGGTCGTGGGAAGACATTGTGGGTTATGCACAAATGTCGAGGGAGCCGGATAATGAAAGTAGAGTTGCGTATCGAAAAAGGGAAACAAGTATTCAAGGCGATGGCGACGATGGCGACGCGGACACGTGGTGGGGAGCGAAACTTTGTCGGAGACGATATCTCTGTTGCTGCGAAGCGGGCGATATAACGTGGCGGATAAAGTTGAAGGAGAGAAAAAGGGAAACTATAGATTTCGGGGAGCAGAGGGCTGGATGTGACTCGGACGTCGGGGCCAGGGCAGGAACGGAGTCGCAGGCAGCTTCATTCACTGATTCTGGGGTTGTATGTGACGGACTAGTCATCGAAACTCTCTGTAGGACAGGGCCTTGTATACTCCAGCACTGGGTGAGAGCGGGACAAAGCGAGAATCTGATCAATACCTACGTTCTCATTTGAAAAGAAGGAAATACTGTCTTGACGTATGAGTACAAGCCCATTGGTAACTAGGTAGCTACCGAGGCGTAGGCTCGGCCAAGAGCTCTAGCCACGTATAACCCGTGATAATTGTTTTGGAAGGAGCGCATGCTGTGACTCGAAGCTATGTTGTTAAGGTACAGAGGAAGGAGCGGCGAAGGTTTTCTGAGGGGAGGCTTGGTGTTGCTTGGTTGGGCGACCTATTACAGTCTGGGGTGCAACCATCCATCATATCTTGAGATGTGCTAAGAGTCGCGGTAACATGGCCATTTTGGGTGTTGAGGAATGCGTATTCCTTACTGTTGAGATGGCGATACTCTTTACTCTTGTTGTCTTTGTTCTTGTTACGTCCGGCAGCCTGGATGGTCAGGCTTTCATTCATATCTTGCAGATGGGATAGATCTGATTGACCGTCCCATGTCATTCATGGTGTTCGTCGCACGTTTGAACTAGACGTTGATCTGGAACATTATGCAAACAAGCTGCTTCCCCCATGATTCCGAACCAGACTGAATGGCATCCCTGAGAGTATGACATCACATCAAACAAATCATCCAAAGGCCTGAATCAAGCTGAATCAGGGTGCATTTCAAGATGCATTTCTGACCTTGGCTGTCACCATCAGCGGCCCCTTGAGATCACTGACTCCAACACTGATCATCTCAGGCAGCTTCCCGCGGAACCCACCGCGGGCCGCCGCCTGCCGCTCCTCTGCGTTCGCGATTTCAAACTCAAACTCGCGCAGCAACGTGGCGGCGAGCTTGTAAACGTTGCTCAGCGCCAGCGTCTTGCCGATGCACTGCCGGGAGCCGAGGCCGAAGTGCATCAGGTAGCGAGCACGGGTGGCCGTGGCGTCGTCATCCCAGCGCGAAGGGTCAAAGACGTCATGGTCATCGCCCCAGACGCGCGGATTGTGGTGGAAGGCGTGGTTGCAGACAGCGACGACCATCTGGTGTCATTGATGTTAATGGAGGCTGTTCCCGTCCTCAACATGAAGGTGAAGGGGCATACATACCCCCTGCTGGATGTGGCGGCCGCTGATGAACACGCCCTCGGGCTCCGTGACGTGGCGCTCCAGCGGCATGCTGAAGACGGGCGTAAGGCGAAAGTTTTCACGCACGCAAGCGCGGAGGTACGGGAGGTGAGTCTCGACCTGTGTGACGCTGCACGCGGGCCTGTCGTCGTCTAAGAGCGGGAGACTGTCGCTGACCTCGCGCGTACACGCTGCTAGGGCCTCTGGGTTGCGCAGGAGGTTGCAAAAGAGCAGAGCGGTCGTGGCGCTGGTGGTATGCGTGCCTGCAATGCTGAGGGTAGGGGATGAGTCCCATCGTGTCAGATACTCCTGGCCTCGTATCTTATTTGAGAGTTCTTTGGGAGGCATGGGACTCACAGGAACCCAAACGCCTCGGCCTCGAGGTCAATCCTCGGCAAGTGCTCGCCCGTATCGGGATTCTCCGCTTGGATTAGTCTCGTCAAGATGTCCGGCCTGTGCCCCGCGCCCTGCTCTTTGACCTGTCCCAGGCGGCGCTCGACGCACTCGGACGCCAGCCGCGTGACCTCAGCGCGGCTGCGGAACAGATCTTGCAGTCCGGCGTGCGGCACGAGGGGAAGCCACCGCTTCAGCCTTTGGGTCATAGACGGCCAGGCGCCCGTGACGGAGCCGAGTAGCGTGTGCGGCACAACGCGCGGCACCAGCGACTCGTCGCCCGAGACCTGCACGCCAAAGGAGTGGCTGAAGGCGAGCTCGCCAAGGACGTCGATGGTGTAGTAGTGGAGGAGCTTTTTGAGGTCAAAGGGGCGCCCGTCTCGCGCGAAGCCGGCGATCTTATGCCGCAGAAGCTTGACGTTGGCGTCGAGATAGTGCTCCATTTCCTTGACGCTGCTGATGGAGAAGCCGTGCGACATGTGGCGGCGGCGGACGGCATGGCGCTTCGAACGCCCCGGCTGTCAGCAAAAGCGACATCACAATGACTGCCATGGCCGCACCACAGTGGCAGGACTCACGTCGTCAGATCTCATTCCGAAGACATTGGGCGTTTTGCCACCGAAAGCATCGTAAAACTCCGTTTTGGGGAATCGCCGGCCACCCTTCTGGTAGATGATGGGTACGGCCTCCTTCGCCGTAATGCTGAGCTTGTCGGGCCCATAACGCACAAACTCGCCATACTTCTCGTGGAGTTGGGTTAGGGTGTATGGCTGTTGCAAGGTGAGGTACTGCTGAACCTGCCAGAGGTCTGTAAGAGATGCCAGTAACGGGCCTGGATAGCCCGCCAGCGGGTGAAGGAATTGCTGGTACAAGACGTAGGCGACCAGGAGGATGAGGACCACCCCGGAGGCTGTGCCCAAGAGGGTCGAGGGGCTGTTGAACAATTCTCCTCGCAGGAGCGGCATGATAGACGAATTCGACGCGAGGGAGAGGGCAATATCGGTGACACCGGCGGGACAAAGCAAGCTTAGGCCTGGGCATCTCCGTAGTTTGTATTTCTATTCCTTTTATTTCCACTCAGGACTTTTGCATTTGCGTACCGCCGCGCTTCCCGATCCATGTGGGACTGGGTCTCGCAGAGGCAGGGATTAAGCTTCATCACGCTCGAAAACGAAGAGCTATGTAACATGGCTTCGGACGTAGCGCTGAGCTTATACTTCAGGTACTAATCAAGCCCCTAACATGTGGGACATCGGTACTAAATAAAGCAGGATATCTGAGATAGATACCTAAGATATCACCACGGCCCCACTTGTATACCCCGCCTTCTGTGATCACCGTCTGGGCTTCAATGTGGGGAAGCGTTGAAGTCTGTGTCAGTCTCATCAATATTCCTAGCTTTGCGCCACAAGAGCAAGTGCCGAGAGCACCCACAAACAGCATATACACGGGTAGTAAGCTTACTTGGTCCTAACAGGCTGGTCAAGGAGGCGTCATCTGTGGCTGTTCCCTGGTCACTCAGAACACCGCCGTTTGTCACAACAAATCCATGTAGGGGGAGAGATCATTTATCCTCAATGGTCTACTTGATATATGCGGGTTCTTCATAGTTTCCCAATTTGCACAGAGTCCAGATTCAACTGCCATGATATATCAAGACGAAAGCAATCTCCAACCTCAGTCTTCCTCTGGGAGTCCGACTAGCCTGAGCGAGTCCCTCCATAGTCTCAAAGCTTTCTCAAGATCGAATGCCCACGGAGCATACCCCTTAGAGGTCAGCCTGTCCTCTCCTTCGAGGTGCGGCTCTGCGACGTCGCAGTCAACGAGATACTTACCACGCTGATGCTGCAGGTTCTTCCCAACAGCGGCGAGAAGCGTGGTAGCAGCACCTTGTTCGACGTTCTTCATTGTAGGGTAGATGTAATCCATACCCTTGAAGGCATCCGGAGGCATGTGACGAGTGAGGCCGGTGACTATGATACCAGGGTGAAGACTGGTCCCGTGTAAATGACGTGAGCCGAAGCGGCGCTCGATTTCGTTGGCCAAGTAGATATCAGCCGTCTTTGATTGACCGTATGCTGCATTAGCATCGTACGTGGTCTTCTCGAAATTGTAGTCACTAGTGTCGCTTATGCCGTAGAAAAGGTGGGCGGTGGATGCGAGGCTGACGACGCGAGATGGAAGTTCCGAGGAAGCGTTCGCCAAAAGACCCGGCTCGAGGACCTTAAAAAACAGGAAGTGCGAAAGATAGTTGGTCCCAAAGTGAAGTTCGTGGCCGTCTGGACTACGACGAAGCTCGGGGATCCCCATAATACCGGCGTTATTGATAAGAAGGTGGATTCGTGTAGAGGTCTTATCCAGAATGACCTTGCCAGCCGCATGGACAGAATCCAGAGAGTTTTGATCCATCTTAATGATCTCCATGCAGGTAGGATCGAAAAAATCAGCCAACGCAGCTTTGGCCTTGGGGATGTCTCGCGCCGTGAGGAATAGGTTAGCCCCGGTGAGGGCAAGAGCCCGGGCCGTCTCGATACCTATGCCAGAGGACGCTCCAGTGATGACAATATTCTGACCGACAAGTTTTCCTTCAGCTTCTTCATCCTTGACTATCTGGACGGCCGTCGGACGAGCATCCCCGGGTCCCTGCGGTGTCTTGTGGGCTTTAGCGTAGCGAGACATTGATGAGTTGGTTGTCTCGGATTGGAAATTCCGGATTGAACAATGTGCGTGAGACTTGGGGGATTTAAATCTGATATATGGAGTTGTGATTGTCGGATAATTTGTCTTGAAGGTCGTATGGAGTTGGAAGCAGAATCGCCAGTTTAAGTATCCTGCCATGGAGACTGGGTGAAGTTGACGGTTTTGAAATCTCTTGAAGAAATGACCAAGGACAGATTTCAAAGCAACAAAGCCACTTTCCGAGATCACGACACTTTGCGCCGCATACGTGTCGAAAGACGGCTATTTATTAATCACGATCTCCCAAATCGATTGCAATGCTTGGTCATGGTGGTAGTGTTGAGTCTACGTCGTGTGGAGTCACGATGACCTTTTCGCCATTTTTGGACTAGAGCGTCCACGTCTATGAAACCATGGTTTCTTTCTGTGTTGCATTAATCTGCACACGCTGACAATAAATATTCGTTGAGAAGTGCACGATATATTCTCCACGGCGACAAGTTCCGAGCTTTGCAATCATTCCGAAATCCACAAGTTTTATGAGACGAGACCGGTGAAGCTAGTTATCGCGCATGCTCTCAGGACTTGCGTCGAGGGCTTCGAAGTGTTCATTGATGATGTTCTAGTGTGCAAACCTACCTGGAGCAATTTAATTCACTTACTACCCGCTCTTAATCAGAAAGGCTTTACAACCAAATGACGGGGTTCAGACAGCCAAGCGCTACGCGCCCGATCCTCTATTCTTCTAGGCATCAACAGATGATCAAACCTTAAAACAAACTGATAAGTAGGCAGCTCGGATTCTTATGACTTGCTATGGCGCGCGCCCCCCGGGGATGGGTTCATACATACGCCTTAACTGTTCTCTCCGCTCTATAACCGCTTGCCCACATAGTGAAAACATTGTTACCTCGCCGAAGTTTCTCAAAGGTTGTATGAAAACCACAGTGGTTTAGGTCTGGCTTCTTGGAAGTGCTCTTGTTGCCAGCATTACTGGGAGTGAAGATGAGGATTTACTGGCAGTTCCCTACTATCAAACCCAGGCAGCTAGTCACTCAAAGTATTCGCAGTTCGGCAAGATTTTTCTTTCTATCTATGTTGGGCCTTTCCTAGCTTGTCACAGTCTAGACCCAAGACTTATGGCTGAGAGAGAGAGTCTGGCCTTTTTGTGTGTCGAAAGAACCGGCTATCTGTCTAGGTTGCCCCGTGTCACTGGATGTTGACTAGCAGCGCTGACCCAATGATTGAGCAAGACGAATATTGCCATTTTCAGCCCTAGTATGCGTTGATACGAAGAAGATCTGAAAGAAAGACCTCAGATCACGTACTAATCATCTGTTAGCCGTGCCTTCTCTCAACATGATAATGCATGGAACTCACCGGAATGTAGAGATATGGTACCTCTCGTTCGTACTGCTTCCATGCTTCACCATACTTCTCGCGACAGCGGCGATGATCGCGTTCAGCGCGGTGGATGGCCATGATGGAGAAGAAGACGGGATAGAACCAAGGGAACGGGCTCCGGAAGCCAGTAATCAGGCCCCACGACAGAGCAAAGTAGACGTCGCACGTATAGTGGATCTTCCGAGCATAGCCCAGCCATCCATCAACCATGATGACGTCTCCCTTGTCCGACGTGATGGTCTTGGGGTTCTTGACGGTTTGCCACGGTAGCTGAGGGAAGGTCTTCCGACTGACCAGTTGGCCACGTTCCTCGGCTCGGAAGCCATTTTTCTGACTGTTCGTGGTATCCCAGATCCAATACGCGAATAAGTACGAGATGTACAGGGCAACGAGCGCGACAGAGTTCCACTTGTACTCGGACGGATGGTGGTTCGCCAAGTAAATGGTACAGTGTGAATACGACATGGGAACGCCGGCTAGGTTCCAGAAGATAAGCATGAAGCCCCATTTCTCGTAGTATATATCCCTATTCATATTAGCACGGCCACGCGTGTAGTTGGAAATGCACTTACCAAGAGGATATTATGAGCTGCTCGCCTTTGGCACAGGCATTGGCGTAGAGGTAGTGCGCGACCACCAGGAAAAGCACCTCGCCAGAGACGTACCCGTACCTCTCATACTGGCGGGCTGCGGCACCGCAGGAGAGGCCGAATATGATGAACCAGGGAATTCGCACCATGAAGAACATTTTGAAATCCAAGATGCCAAACATGCGAGGATTGAGTTCGGCACCCATGAAAAAGTCGTAAATAGGATAGCCAGAAATACGATGTTGCGCACCTCTCAACAGAGTCGAGAGGTAGGCGATAGTAGCTACAAGGTAGCCACTCAGGATACTTACCGTCAGCAAAGGCCCAAACTCGTCGATAACGGTGTATAGCCGAAAGATGCCAGTGAAGTGGAGGGCAGCCATAATAGCGATCGTAAAGTGAAACGTAAAGTAGGCGTTGCAGTAGTATTTCAACTGCTTACCACCCTCGTGAGGAAGAGGCTTCCCCCAGCCCCAAACCCCCGGCAAGACACAGTAGGATATAGCCTCGAAGACGAAAAATGACCAGTAGATGCGCCAAGCGCGTAGGGTCGGGAAGGCGTCGGTATACACAAGGTGGCTGAGATGGTGACCAAACTCTGCCCAGCTCTGGTTCGCCTCAGGCCAGGGAATGTTGCCGTCATAGCAAGCGGCGCCAATCCACATGTACCACATCAGCAAGGGGAACCCGATCATCAGGGATAAGACACCAGCTGAGCCTCCGAATTCGAAGACACCCGAGGTATCGACTTTGGGGTTCGTCCCGACCTCCCAGCCATCGATAAGCTCACCCTTGCGGTATGTACGCTGGGTGCCCTCTGTTTCTTGAAGACCAAAATGGCTTGCGGTGGACTTGTCTTCCTTCGAACTCTTCCCACCGTTTTCCTTTTTGGATGTGGTCGTTGTACGTTGTCTTGGGGTGCCGTTCGGACTGTCGGGATGTTTGCCAGAATTGGGGTCGCTGTACTCACGCCTGGAAAAGAAGTCAGCGGATGCCAATTTTTAAGGCAGCTGTCGCTATGAGGTCTTACCCATTGGGAGTTTGGATACGTGTCGCCATGGCTGTACTGGGGGTTACAACAGTCCCTTTTTCACAGGCAGGGAGATGTTGTGATCGCGTCTTGACTGCTCATGTTCAAATCAATGGAAAGAATTATTGTGGCATCTCGGGGGTTTTATCACATCGAGTCGCAGAATACAACAATACTAGCACTATCTTAACACACGTCGTCTGATGTGGGACCATGAATGCATCTTTCGTATAACGGAGAAACAAGCTCACGGGATGGTTGT